AGAAATTAAATGTCAATCGATTCATATTCCTGAATTAAATTCAAAGGAGAGACTGGAGAATACAAATTTTTGTAAAATAAATTTTTCTTAAATGTGAGGCTTATACAACTATTTTTATCCTTTGAGTTCCCTCTTTCTCAGACTGTTACCGTCTTCCCTCTGTCTCTGGCTTGCCACCATGGATGTTTTCTATTCCACAGCTCTCTGGGATCAATATTGAATAATCTCAAATACCCATAAGGCCATGTGTCCTATTGGATCATTTCATAATCTCCAATTCTCCGAGGATTATTTCACACCATGAAAATGTCAATTCCTAGTCTATGATCACTGGTTACTCCTTCTCTCTCCCTCTCCAGAATAGAAATGCATATGAATATCTATATATTTGCATGTATACACAGATTGGGGCCATTTGAAGCTTTTCTTCCAGTGAGGAAAGAATTAGATGTGAGTCTAGCCAGTTTTTATAGAAAGCTATAATTTGCATTCGTAATCAATTTATTATCTCTGTTTTTGGTCTACTTATTTACCCTTATACATAGTTTGATAACAGTAAAAGATAGTGAATAGAAAACCCTCATACAGAGTTCTACTTATATACCCCTCTCTCGCAGGGTTTTAATAATCGAAATGGGAGAACAATCCACCAAGAGGCAGTTATGTGGGAAGGCGAAGATGTTGTTCCAAAACTAAATTCAAAAATACTTAATAAAAAGAACATGTTACATTGTACAAAATCAAGTTGCTGTCATATATAAGCAAGCTGCTTTGATAATACAAAGTTCGATTAAGAGGAGGCAGAAAATGAACACACAGGCACACACACACACACAAAACCCAGAACACAAAGAAAGAGAGAACGAGATAGAGAGAGAGGAAGATAATTTAAGAAAGCAAGAATACAAAGACATAACAAACCCAGAATACACACTCACACAAAAAACTCAGAAAGCCTGGACTCCTGGTGTTGCCTGTTGCAGTGGGTGTTACTCCGGTGTGCTGTGTGTTGCATGGGCAAGGTAGAGACAGAGAAGAAGGGGAGAGAGAGGGGTATCGTGAGATAGTTAGACTTGCTTGAGGTCTATGGGTGAGTTAGCAATTGAGATAAGGGATTAGATAGGTTATTTGTTTTTTAAATTGAAAGAGAGTCAGAGGAAGAGTCTCGATAGATAAGATTAGATAGGTTATTTGTTTTTAAAAATGAGAAAGAGTTAGAGGAAAAGTCTGGCCAGATAGGATTAGATTGGTAATTTGTTTTTAAAAATGAGAAGGGAGTTAGAGGAGGAGTCTCGGCAGATAAGATTTTTTTTAAAATGGCTATGATGAGGACCGTTAGATCAAATATTGTGAAGTAATCTGAGCCACAAAAATTCAAGACAAATATTCCTAATTATTTTATTATATAGATAGTTAAATAAGTAAGGATACAAATACCTTTAATATTTTTTATAGGGATATAATAGACAATAAAAAAAAATTCACTTAAAATATTTTTTATAAGAATGTACCTGCTGGGTTTTGGACGATCTGCTCTTGAAGGATCTGGTCAAGGAAGAAATGAACCCGTTGTTCGAAGAAGATCACCAGTGAAATCACCTCGATCGCTCCTTCGGGTGAAATCACCGTTGCTCGCCTATTGTGGGGCATAGCGGAGCCAGAAACTTTGTTTATGTTAGCACTTTAATTATGTACTCTAATTTTTTTTTTTAACTAATCACACTATATAACATATTTATATTTATTATATTATATTTGATATATAAATTCTATTTAACATAAAAAATTCTAAAAAAAAATTGTATATTTCCAGGGGCGAAACTCTGAATATCTATATTAGAGATAAAATATAACTAATATAAAAAAATATTAAGCCGAAAGTAATACAAAAAAATTTAGTTCAAGAATAAAAAAAAAGTAAGAATCAACACTAAATTATTGTGAAATAGTAAATTCAATTTTTATTTAGCCGAAAAATTTTTTAATAAAAAGACACAAAATAATTTTTTTAGTACATTTTAACCTAATTATATATTTCAATAAAATATAAAATTTTTAAAATCTATAAAATTTTGTATATGAATTAAATATAAATTAATTTTCGTATTTTATTAAGTTATAAACTACTATTACAAAAAAAATGGTAAATGAAAACTAAAAAATATTCTTAAAAGTAACGAACATTGTGTTAGATAAAGAGAAATATTATATTTTCGTCAATATACAAACAAAACATTAACTCAATCCAAAACTAACATTTATTTTAGAGATTAGTGGTCCACTAATTTATTAAAAAAAAAAAGACAAAAACCATTATTAAAATTTTCAAAAAATTAGGAGGTAAACATAATATATAAAATATTTTATAAGTTGGTGTAAGGAAGAACAAAAAAACCCAATGAACTGAATTTCTCGTGTGTTGAACTTTTCTCTGTTTCTTTTCTTTTTCTTGTGGTTGGGTCGTGGGCAGCTAGAAGTGAGTCATAAAGAGGAAAAAAAAATAGAAAAGATAAAATATGTTTTAGTTAAGTGGGCCAAAAGTTTTGTTCTTTAATAATATTGAGCTAAAAATTTTGTTTTTAATGTTGAGCCAAAAAATTTGTTTTTAATGTTAGACTAAAAGTTTTATTTTTAGTGAGTTCAATTTTTTGTTTTAAATGGACTTAATTATTTAATTATTTTGAGTAAATAATGTGGGTCTAATATAAATAAGGAGGACACACATAATATATATATATATATATATATATATATATATATATATATATAATAATAATAAAAAAAAATTGAGGGGTACGTGTCTACCCTGCCTAACTTCTTCCGCCCATGGTGGGGGAGAGAGATAGAGTGAGAGACAACTAAAAAAAAAAAAAAAAGATAAATACAAAATTTTAACGGTAAAAAAAGAAATCTGGCCATTGTACAAGGCCTTGGCGTCAGAGATAGATATTAGAGAGAGAGAACAAACCGTTGCCTAGCAGCAGGGGGGTAGTAAATATTAAGGGCAATGCTATTGATGTACTTTCATATCTTTTACTATCCTAAATATTTATTTCTCGGCACGTAATAAGATTCTCGATAGATAAAGTGAATCTTTCTTGAGTTTAAATGGTAGAAGGATAGAAAATTATATACTTATAAGATAGGTTAATTATTAATTTTTATAAAATATATTTATTTATTTATTTTAATATTATTAATTAATAATAATACATCACCTTATCATATTATATTATCATCGTAATTAATATTTTCTCCAAAGGAGATGGTGAGGGGAGGAGGAGATGAAAAAAAGGTATAGTCTAACCCTAACTATGTACAATTTTAAGGGAACAAGGGTAAAATCACACTTAATCCTATTGGCAGGAAATTCGGGTAGATAAATTCCATGGGAATCATGGTTTATTGCGTGCCGAGCTTTTTGAGTCAACGTTTATCCCATTAAATTGTGTATATTCAAACTTTATATATGTTGGCCCCAAACAATTTAAACTTAATTCGCGTGTCTTATCCATCAAATCAAACATACCTAAAGATTTTAGATATTTTATTTCTTTTTATTTATAAATAATATTACTTCAATTTAATTTATTAACATAATATAATGATCTAATCATTGAATTCATAATAAGTCTTCTAGTATTTATTGAGACTTACTATTAATTTAATAATTATAATAAATTAAGTCAAAAAATTAAATCTAAATAATATTATTATTATTTATAACATAAACAATAGAATAATGCAGACCAAATGATATCGTATTATCATGATGGGGTTATTAGTTTTAACAAAATTAACTCATTATGATGGTGCCACATTACTCTTAACAAAACTAAATCTCCCTTATGTTCCGTTTGGTACGATAAAAAAGTGAAAGATGAAAAGTTGGAGGGATAAATAAAACATCATATTTGATAAGAAAGGAAAAATGGATGGATTAACTTTCCTTCCAACTCACCAAAATCAATCCCTTCAAAATCAGAAGAAAAGTTAATTATTTGTGTTGAGATGTATCTTATTTATCTATATATCTTTTATATATACATATATTATGTATATATTAATTTCATATAAAAATACAATAGTAAAATATATATATATATATTAAAAATTTAAATAAAAATAAATTTTTCTATATTAACTAAGAGCGAAAATTTTCTATTCAACACGATGATACAACTCAAACTTGATACAAAAATAAATACGTTAACTCGCAACTTGACACGACACAATTAGTTAAATGAGTTAAGTTAGATTTAATTAATATTCGACACAAACTCGTAATGACTCAACACGACTCGAATCTATTGTTACCTCTAAACTTAGCCAACACAAAAAAAAAATAGTCATTTTTATTTTTCATCCATTTAACTATACAAAAAAAAAAAAGGAAAGTGTATCCTTTCTATATTCCATTCTTGAAGGATAGAAAGTGTATTCCTCCTACTTTCCATTCTCCCTACCAAATAGAGCATTAGAATTTCACTAACTGTTTTTTTAACAGAATCTTACAACTTCAATACGATCAATTGGTACTACTACTAATTCTTCACCCGAGAGAAAAATGCTTTTACAGCAATTCAAATAAAAAAATGGTTAATAGTTAATTTGATCATCAATGTATCAATTTGATCTGTAAAATATTAACTTCATGCTTAAATGATTCCTATACAAATTGCTTATTAATTTTTTTAATAAAAATAATTACATATTATTTTTTTAGACAATATTATATGATCATTTCTATCAAAAATTTAATGGGTAATTTGTGTAACAACTATTTAAATATGAATTAAATATTTTAAGGGTAAAATTGATACATAACACTAAATTGGTAAAATAACCAAAAGTTCAAAAGAAAAAGACAAAGAAGGCGAAGAGTACTATAAAACGACGTCGTGGAGACACCGGAGAAACCCTAAACCCTAACCACCAAGAAGCCAAGGCGGAACACCTACTCCAGACCAAACCCAACCTTGTTCTCTGAAGCTTCTCCAATGGCGGAAAACAAAACAGCCATAGCCAAAACCTTCCCAGTAAAACCCAAACTCAAACCCGCGTCAAACAAATCAACACCAACCCCAGAATCCAAGTACTGGAAATCATTCAAACAGCCAAAAGAAACCCCAACCCAAACCCTAATTTCCTCCATAACATCTCTATCATTCTCTCCCACGCAACCTCACGACTTTGCCGCCACCCACTCCGCCACCGTTACCATCTTCTCGGCCCAAACACTTGAACCCAAGTCAACCATCGCTGCCTTCTCAGACACCGCCACCTCCGCCATCTTCCGCTCGGACGGTCGCCTTTTAGCCGCTGGCGATCTCTCCGGATCTGTCCGCATCTTCGATGTCAAGTCCCGCGTTCCTCTCCGCCACCTTCGTGGCCACTCCCGTCCCGTACGCGTCGTTCGATACCCTAAAGCCGACAAGCTCCACCTCTTTTCCGGCGGAGATGACGCCATCGTCAAGTACTGGGACGTCACCACCGAAACCCAAATTTTCGATCTCATTGGCCATAAAGATTATGTTCGATGCGGTGATGTCTGTCCTGTAAATGATGATATGTTCGTTTCGGGTTCGTATGATCACAAAATTAAACTTTGGGATATTAGGGTTTCGAGTTCGGGATCAGTAATGGAAATCAATCATGGAAAACCCGTTGAGGATGTAATCTATTTGCCATCTGGGGGGTTAATTGCGACGGCGGGTGGTAATAGTGTGAAAATTTGGGATGTTATTGGTGGTGGGAGGTTGTTGCATTCCATGGAGAGTCATAACAAGACTGTTACATCGATTTGTGTGGGGAAGATTGGAAAAGAAAGTGGTGAGGAGGCTCAGCAGTATAGAGTTTTGAGTGTATCCCTAGATGGGTATATGAAGGTTTTTGATTATGCAAAGTTTAAGATTACTCATTCGATGAGGTTTCCGAACCCTCTTCTATCAATTGGGTTCTCACCAGATTGTTCAACCAGGGTAATTGGGACTTCAAATGGGACTTTGTATGTGGGGAAGAGGAAGGTGAAGGAAAACATCGAGGGTGAGTTGGGGGAGTTTTCAGGTTTTGGGGCAGTGGAGGAGGCTCCGAAGAGGGCGTTGAGGCCTTCGTATTTTAGGTATTTTCATCGAGGGCAGAATGAGAAGCCTGTGGAAGGTGATTATTTGATAATGAGGCCGAAGAAGGTGAAGGTGGCGGAGCACGATAAGTTGTTGAAGAAGTTCAGGCATAAGGAAGCTTTGGTGTCTGCATTGAATGGAAAGAATCCGGAGAATATAGTGGCAGTCATGGAGGAATTGGTGGCGAGGAAGAAGTTGTTGAAATGTGTATCGAATTTGGATACAGAAGAGATTGGGTTGTTGCTGAGATTTCTGCAGAGGTACTCGACAACGCCCAGGTATGCAGGGTTGTTGATGGGGTTGGCAAAGAAAGTTGTTGAAATGCGAGCTGAAGATGTTAGAGGTTCTGAGGAATTGAGAGGCCATATTAGAAACCTCAAGCGAACCGTTGAGGAGGAAATAAGATTACAGCAGTCATTGCAAGAGATACAGGGTATAATTTCTCCTTTACTCAGGATTGCTGCTAGGCGATGAAGCTAAACAGCTTCCAAGGGGTACTCTTTTTTGAGTTTTGTTCCTCAAATTTTGATTTCCTAGAAAAGGCGAGATAAGTTTTGTTATTTTGTTCATTTGAAATTGATCTATTTTGATGTTTGAAGGAAATAGGGTTACTCAACTAAGAATTGTCATCACCTTCATTTTTCGGTTGACAACTATTGTTTTTGCTTTTGCTGTGTTGTACTTGGAAATTACCTTTCTATGGAGAAAACCTGGACTAGGACCATTGTCTGGAGTTTTTAGCTTTTGGTGTGGTGTTGGTGATTTGTTTTTCTATGAAACATACGGATGATTGAGCTTTTTGATAAGAAAACAAAATAAGAAGGGCCTTGTTGGCTCTTCCGTTAAAATAAGAATTGCAGGAAACTAGACGGTTTGATTCTATTGATGCCACCCAGAAATTGGATCATTACGTCTCATCATTCAATTCCAAATTTAAGAAAAAGGGGCACCAAAAAGATAAAAAAAGGAAAATTACCTTGAAGACTAGTTGAACGACAATTACCTTGGTTCTCATTACCTTGACCCAGTGATTTTGAGCTGAATAGGCCAATTCAACGAGGACAGAGTGTATAAAGCGATGGTCAGACATAAGTTGAACATAGAAAGAACAGAGACAATAACACAAAAATCTCTTAGCCAGAATGTACATGACATACAAATCTACATGACCAGTTCAACATGCATCACACCGGCACTTCTGTAAGTTTACATGGGGTATACTTCAGCTTTCATCAAACCCTGAGCTGGGAATTCCTGAGGTTCCAACCCAGATACCAGTAACAAGGTTACAAGGGGATTGGACTATGGCAAACCCATCACCCAGCATGTTCACCACTCTTAATACACCTGGAGGTCGCTAGCTGGATGCCCCTGCAAAATGCAAAACAAAATTGTTACAAATTTAAAAACAAAAAAAATATTTCACCGTGATGAATGAAGCTTTTTTTGTTTTTTGGTCAGACTTGATGAATGAAGCTTGAGCATCCCAATAATGGGGGCTAGTGGAAATTTTTTAGAAGTGCTTCTTTATAAGGTGACAGGGCTGCTAGTTTGAGTGGGGCATGACAGTTTCCCAAACTTCTCCTTTAAGAAGGGAGTAGTTGGAGACAAAATATCAATGTCAATCAAGAATTGATTTCAGAAGGGGTGCTTACTCAAAGTGTAAAACACTACGCTCATTGTTCTTCTTCTAAAGTCCAGTTGAAAAGGTCAACTAATAGACCAAGTGCCAAATTGAGGGACAGCTAGTCACATAACACGAAAGGAAGAAAGAAAGCTATGTTACAAATGATTGGGAAGTAATGATCAAATCCGAGTAAAGTTGATAAAGTGGAGTGGTCATTGCTTGGAGACCTAATGGATGGGAGTCTCTATCATAGGAGCGAACTCATTCCCACATTTGTTAGTGAACTCATGACACATGGTAGTGAGGAGAAGAAGAATGGATGAAAGAATGACTTAGGTAAAAGTCAAGACCATGGTCAGTTTTCCTAGTTTATAGGGCAAAAGAAACATTGCCATTCATAAAGTGCCCATGAAGTGTCCGCCTACTGGGAATGTTGAACATTCTTACTTACAGTTACCAGATGGAAATAAAATCTCTGTTGTGATGAAATTTAGCTGTTAACCATAGGAAAACTACGCATGCATGAATGGAAGTTGAATGGAAGTGGAAGAATTATCAAATCATAAAGACTGAGTGCCTGGCATATAGTAGTCACAATAAATACCTGATGTTCTGGAAGCAGCCAATCCTTCATTCCTCTCTCTTGAAATTCTCAATGACCTCAGCTTGGATGATGGCCTAAGTGAATGTATTAAAGGAGCCTCCTCTTCTTCTTGCTTTTCTTCCTCATCGTGAGCATCTTGGTCAGATGCGCTTATTGAATCCTCTTCTTCACTTGAGCTGTGCTCGTCAAACAGTTTCTTTCCCTCTAAATGGCGCCTCTTACGTGGACGGCCACGCCCTCTTACAGACACCCCTTCTTTTTCATCTGCAATCCATTCCCACAGATTACCTCTCAAGGCACAAGCCAAAAAAAACAGTAGTTCAAAGCCATGTTCATTATTTAAATTAGATGATGAAAAAGGAAAACTTGGGTAAACAAAAATGTCAATATTACTTATCATTGATTAAGCAAACATAAGCTCTTATCATGGCATGATCTGCAATAGGAAATCTTCTAATGACGTGCAGCATTTTTTGTTTGTTAAACCGCATTTGCCTTCTCATCACACTGGAGCTTCGCCCCCAGGGGGGGGACATCATACAGTGAATATGCAGATTAGACAATTCAGTTGTCGGATACATTAAAGTCTCCTTGCAAGCACAGTCAACAGAAGAACAAGTAACACTTTGACATCAATCTAAAATAAGGTTCGAGCCAATGTTACCTGAATCGGGGGTCGATTTCATGCATGATACAGATACAAGTATACAATACGACACTTTCTTAGGTACACTGTGTGATGAAGATAGACTTAACTGCTATGAAGTTTTGAGTAACAGTTCATTTTGCAACCCTTATCTAGATCATTTTCACTACTATATAATTTGGTTGTAATGATATATCCATAAACATATAGTTAATTACTATTTGTTTTATGTTTGCGCTCAATGTCCTGTTGTCTGAAATTATATATAATAATAATAATAATACATTCATAAATATTTGTTTTACATTTGTGATATATGTTCCAAAACAAATCAATTTGGGCTTAGTAATTATAATTTGGAGTCAGATATTTAGGTTATCTGAATAGTGAACCCACCCCATTAGGGATTGTTGTTACCAAATCATGGGTTGCCAGGGATTTAACAATTTCTGGTAACTATGGAGCATCTTTCTGACATCAGTAAGTTTGAACTGACTTGTAGACCGCAGCAAGTTTGACACCCCCCCGCCCCCCCCTTTTTTTTTTCCTTTTCAAACTGTAAACAATCAACAACAAAGGAGATGAAAGTACTTCAATTCATTGTGGACAAAAAGTTGGGAATCACCTCTTGATCAATGCTGGAAATTTGGAAATATAAAAGGACAACTAGAAATATAAGGTAATCTTCCAAGCTAAAGTCAATCATAACATCTTTCAGATGGGTGTACAGATTACAAACTTTTGGAACACAAAGAAAGTTTTAGGGAAAAAATGCAGGTAAAACATGAATGTACCTTGCAAACCTTCAGTTTTTGCATATTTGTCACTTAAGGTCTCTACAAATGCGTAATAGGGGCGCCAGCCACTGGGATCTTCGTCCGTGATCACATTCTCCGTCTGTTTTTGGACATCTTTCAGACTGCTTGCAAAAGCAATTAAATATTAGTGCTTTCTTTCCTGGAAGTATAAAATAGAACAAATCCACATTAAAGGCAAAAAACCTACATGTCCAGAATATCATCGTAGGAAGTTTCGACACAAAATGCAGCACCGCACCATCCAAGAAAGACAGATGCATTGGAGCATCCATAAATGCATACTTGATCCCCTCCTTGACAATTTTTGAAATATCTGACCTATGCTTGTTTCGAGCAGCACCTATAAATGTTCCAGAAAGCCGAGCAGCGAGATCTTTACATTCCATAAGTGACTTGCTTGACAGGGTTTCATCATTGCCACTGGAAAGTAGCGTCAAATGTCTCTTGTAGGCCTAATCAAAACTCAAGAGAAGAGGAGGTAAATATTTGTAACAACAAAATAGAATGACTTTATCGTAAATAAAGGTAAACTACACTTTGCCTATCCTGAAAACACTCCAATCTGAGTTCAGTCTCCAAGTAAACCTCAAGGCATGATATTTTATGTGACATGATCTTTTCAAGTTTGCTACTGAAATTACCAAATCATGTTACAAACAGATTATCACTACCAATTTCTCCAACGAAAAGAAAATAAAAATTTAAAAAGGAGAAAACAAAATTTTACTATACATTTAGGACATTGGAATGGCCATCATAGACAAATAAGAATATATAACCTATCCAAATCAAACTTGAAGGATATTATTCAAACAGAAAAATGCAGAGAATGAAATCGCTATCATTCACTTAATGTTCATATGCATGCAGAAGAGCAGAAAATAAGTCAGTTCCATTGACCAGATGCAGTTCTGCACCCCTAAAGCCTCGAGCCATACCCTTTTCAGCGCTTCTAGGAAAATATAAGAGACATCGTCATCTTGCTTCTTTAAAACAGCTATCAGATGCTTAACAATCTCACTGATGCTTGTTCCATGCATCACAAAATGCGAAATGATCTCTGGACCGAGATACTCCTGCAGTCACAGTTGCCACCAAACAAAATGAATTAGCAATCAATTGGATAAAGACACACATACCACTCTATGTTGCATATATTGAGATATTAAAAATCTAATTACGAGAATTTGAGCAACAAATTAGTTATCAGCAAAAAAAAATTAAGCACCAAATTGTCAATTGGGATTTATCATCACAGTCATTTCTTATCCAGAGTCTTCATATGTTTTGCCCAGATGAAAGAGTGGCAATCCTCAAACCATCAATATATGCATGCTAACCTTAGGAACTGCATCAGTAGCAACCAACTTGGCAGCAGCAATTATGACTGCGTCCCGGTTTGTCTCCTCAACATACTCTCTGTTGACATCGTCATCTTCTGTATCATCTGTAGACACACTGAGAAATGACGTCGAAGTTCCAAGATGGAAAGCCAAATAAGTGCACAACATTGACTATTAGTGGATCATGTCTTTAGGTAGCAACCACATCCCAAAGTCATTTTACACAGTAAAAACTGATCTCAACAGGCACAGCTTATTACAATATCCAAAAACCAAATACAAATATCACGAAATTGGAAAAAAAAAAAAAATTGGTTGACAAAATTAAATCGAAATGGTAAGGTCACATTTGGGATGACTTATTAACTCAAATGGTGCTTCTTAAGTAAGTACTTGAAAAAATTTTACTTTATAAGGAAACACTTTCATTGAATAAGTAGGGTTTTGTTGCTCAAAAAAACACAAATAAATAATATTTTATAACATGAGTGTTTGGGTAAGCACTTCTCTGTGTCACAATTGCTAATACCCAAAAACCAAGATATATCCATAATGGTAATTGGAGGTGGTGGAGATGGTGGGAAAAACAATAGTAGTGATGGTGACAGCCATGCTCGTGGTGATTGCGGCTTCGGCGATGATGGCGGGGATGGAGGTTGGGGGTAGGGATGACTGTGGTGGCAATTATGGTTGGCAGTGATGATGATGGGGGTGGTGGGGGTGATGCCAAGGGTGGTTTGGTGTCCAACGTACTATTTTAAATAAGTCATTCTAAACAACACTCTTTAAGAGTGCTTGTGAATTATGATGTCATAAATTCATAAAACACTTTTGTTAAGCCATCCAAAACGCCACTTAAAAAATGCATCTCATCATCATAATTTGATTGTATATCTAACAACAGTGTGGCGGCAGCTGCCCTCACTGGAATTTTAAAAAATTTTGGGGAGTGAGAATAATTTTAAAAATATTAGAATTTATTAGAGATTTGCCCCCACTAAATTTTTTTTAAAAGATTTAAGGGTAGTTATGTTATTTTAACAAATATACAGGTCTCACTTGTAAATGCCAAAAAAGTGCTTTAAAAGGCTAAATGCCTTTGTCCACCCATTTGTCCCATCATTCAATGATGAATATTAAGTTTTTGACTGAACAAATTAAATTTTGAATCAATTATGAAACAATTTCTTAAAATTCAATATATGATTAAGCCCAATTTTTTGGTTCAGATTTTTTTTTTTGTTAAGTCGTATAGATAAATTTATAGTAAGTTTTTTTTGTTGACTCCTTTTATATATCGCTCATGTATATAGGTTGCCCTTTTAATTGTCGTTCTATTAATGAAACTATATTTTTGTGAACATTTGGAATTTTAATATTAATATAGTTTAAGTTGCCTCCACCGGGGAAGATGTCTAACTCCACCCCTAATCTACAGCCTACAGGTTATGGAAGTATTACATGAGAACTAGAAGCAACTACCTATCATTGATGAGAAAATATCCAGAATTTCTCATTCCACCCTCTTCAGTTCTTTTGTTAAGAATATTTGTAAACCAAAATATCTGAAGATGGAGGCAAATCTTTTGGATATTTTAATCCTAAATCACTCCCATCTTTTTGCTTTGAATAAGGTACAAATTGCTAGCAAACAAGTCTGAGCAATATTTATTACTGACTTATGTATTTTGTATGAAATGGATGCATTTAATTTAACTCTAATATATAGAGGTTGAATAGAAAAAGATGAATGGCGGGTGAACTTCAGTGAAAAACTTTGTTTCTCATCAAAAGCAATACACATGTACTATACCTCCCGAAAAAATATAGAATTATGAGGCAAAGAAACATAATTGAACAATGGCATTCAACCTACTAAATTCAAGGTGCCCATAGAATTAGTCCTTTAAGGTCTAAACCCCATGAAGTAGAAGAGACAAAGAATAAGAAAATGAATTCCTCCAAAACAAGTAAGACTATGGCAGCATTGCTTGTACAAAATACCAGCTTTCAGGCTTTAATCTTTAAGCCCGGGCTGTAATAGTTGGCAGCCCAAGAGTTTCCCATTGCATTAAGCTTTGGCTCCTCATTGATATCCAATAAAAAATTTTATCCCTCTAACCAAAACATAAGCTTATCCATTAGCCAGAAAAGGACTCCAAGAGAGTGATAAATCTAGATCCTAGAAAGACCCACAGTTTACTTCACCATGTAATATAACTCCATAAACCACCCATAGCATTCTATATTGTCATCATTAACAACACAGGATGTAGCTTCACTACCCACCCATACATGTTACACTACCTCCCTACAGTAAAACCCAGACATAATAAAGTTATCCAAATGTGGGAAAGGAACTTCAATCCACTCCAAAAAAACCCAGTAAAAACTAAAAATTACCAATTGGAGGTCACTATGGATTGGAACATAGCTTATTCTGAGAACTCAATTGATCCTCTTCACCTAGAAGTTCTTAACATCACTCCAGTCTAGGCTGATCAAAAGCAATAATGACACACTCCGCATGATCCCCATTATACCTCAATGTTAATTGCCGTGGATTGTGTTTCATGACTCTAATTCAAAGTTGAGGAAAATGGTAAACTTCGATTATTCCTACACACAAAATATTAAAAGAGAAATTGCATTTTTCCCCACCAGTTTAACAACCTATCACTTGAGTTACCCGAGTAAGAGCACCTGCCCAGACAAAAAAAAGTGTGGAATAGCTGAAGATTACCAATTTACTACTATATTTATAAATTCTTGGCCAATGCATCCACCTAATGTTTCTTACCAACAAATACTATGAATCATCACTCAAAGACATCTATTGAAATTCTTGGCCTAAAGCTTGGACACATAATTAATGTAAAGTTAAAAACAGGAGTAAGTAGGTGTGCCATGGTACAGGCAGTCCGCACAGCCCACAAAAACCAGTGCCTGGTCCAGAACATTGGTCTGCCCAGAATTGATATTCTTGTACAACCTTATTGTCTTTATACATAAGAGACATTATGAAAAATAAAGAAAATTTAACAACATTTTCCCATGAATAAGTATGGTCCATGGCCAAGGGCTGGGCTGGGCTAGGGCTAGATAAGCTACCCTGAATTTGGGCCTGGCCCATGGCCATCCCTAATATTAAGAAAAATAGCAGTAACATTGTCAAACCCGATTCATAGTAATACCATTCCTTTCTGAGGTTGGGATGAGTTACGCAGACATAAACACAATGATACATTTATGATCAATATATGCTAAGCAATCATGGCTTGGTGCCAGCGGTCAGTGAAAAGTAAAAGAATTTAAGTCACCTGAAACACAGAGCTGCTGTTCACATAGTTTCCAAAACTTATGAAGAATAGGCTCGTTAGGACAATATCCCAGACTTTCCAGATTTGTTGAAGCAAAGTTTGTCTTTCTGAACAAACACCACACCTCAGCAAGTATAGTGCAAACCTTGGACAAAATGTAGATTCTATTAGACCAAAATTAATGCATACCAGTTCAAAAGAAGATATTTTAGCAGAACGCTTCACTGCAAAATTGGCCGTAGTAACGTCCACAAAAAGTTCAAGAAGCTTACCCTACATGCCAGCTGATTTCCACCTTTACTCACATCCTGAGCTCCAGGAGGTGTGTGCAGAAAGTACTCAAGTTGTTCAAACAAAGTAGTGCGTCTGGATAATAGGGAAGACAAAGATGTCTCGGAGACTGTGTCACTTTTTATGATAGAGTGTAGGCACCAGGCAACATGCAAATACATGTTTAGAAGCAGAAAGCTGACAACCTGAATGAGCACAAATGACTATAATGCAAGCAGAAGGAGAACTATGATTCTGAGGGAAGCTTAGAGTTACCTCGTCATCTAAGCTTCTGAAATTCTGAAGAATCCCAACCATATCGTCATATAAGCTCTCAATAGTTATAGGCCTTGACAATTGAAGCTCATACAATCTTTTCAAGCTTACAAGCAGCGAGTATTCATCATCACCATCCTACAGAGCTAAATCATGTCATTTTTTTCTCCACATGGCACAAAAGAGGGGGAAAAAATAGAAAATGTTGTACAGAACATACCACAACATCTTTGATTGCAGATTTAAGCTTAGCAATAAGCTCATCCTCAAGTTCCTTCAACTTGTTTTGGGCAAAATCTTTTAACTCTCCCCGACTCTCGGTGGAACAGAAGTTGATAGCTTTCACACAAGATCTCAAAGCATCCTTCTCGACATGTTTAAAGAATGCCTCTTTCATAAGCTGAAGAACAGTCTTGAAATTCTGAAAAAGTGAAGCAACACAAATGAATACGGCGTCAAATTGCAAACCACAATGAACCTGTGCTGCAAGAAATTCTGTAACCCACCTGCTCTTGCCTCTTCAGGGAATAGAGCTCAAGGTTCATATGTACAATAATCTCAACTAATGAAGATATTTTTTCTTTGTCAGCCATAAACTTGCGTAGGAGCTGCGGGTAGTTCTTCATCATAGAGAGAGTTATATCCCGCCTATTGTTTTCAAGCATTTCCTGGCAATTGTAACAGAAAAAGATGGGAAAAAAAGGGGAAAATTAGAATTCACAAAAATATAGTTTGCATGGGAGTTCCCCCCCCCCCCCCCGGCGGGCCCAAAAAAAATTAAAAAAAAACCCAACAAACATAAAACAGAGATTGGTAATTAACTGAGGATGGACTCACTCTTTGAGCTTTATTGTAGTACTGTTTCCGATTATCAGTGGCAGGAACAATCTTTTCTCCCACTGCCTTTTTAACAGAGGAACAGAGTAGTCGAATCAAGTTTGTTGCATCCTCATCAGTAAGCTCAATTGATGGGTTCTCATCCAGTACCATTGAGATAATACGCTTCCAATCCTGCAAGTTGCAATTTTTAGTTGCCGAAGTTAGCACACCATCAAGAATAAAAAGTTACTCAACTCCAGCACCTTTTTCATTTTCATGACCAGGGGCATAGTTGTCAAATCGTGTATCGGAAGGCGTATCGTTTTTTAATAATAGTGTATTGTATCGTAAGATACGTGCAATTTTAATTTTTAAATAATTATTAATAAAATATATGTATATACCTTTGTAAAAAAATCATAGACTCATAATTACATAGCATTTCATTAATATTCCACCAACTATCCAAGTTCCTAACATAGTTTAGTAATATCAAAATGCAAAAACCTCTAATTCAAACTTCTAACATCAACTACTTGAACAACCTTAATATTAATTAGGAATTTTGAATTCAATTGAACAACATTAACAGCATATTTTATTTATTTATTTATAAACTATTAACCACCGAAACACCGTTGTTTCACTAGCTAGTAATTTAAAAATAAGTCATAAGATAAAACGATGTCATTTCAACTCCAAAAAATTTTAAAAAATAATAAAAAACAAAATCGTCACGTATCGGATCGTGTATCGTACGATACAGTGCAAAAACGATACAGAAGCACGATACGTATCATTTTTCAGGTGTATCGTACGATACTAATAACTATGACTAGGAGTGCCTATATGTGTTATCTAAAACTGCAGACATACTTGGTACACGAGGCTCCTGCCTATAGCGGGTCTAAGAGAGATGATAGGCAACCTTAGCCCCATTTTGGATAGGCTAATTCTCAGAAAACTACAGAATGAGTAGAATTTCATTAGAATAAATAAAATCAGATCCAGTTGCATTGGTTGGTCACTGCCTTGTCCAACTCAGCTCTAGGTCAGCTAAAAGTTTTTGACTCGGGCCCAACCCCATGTTTCCCAAGAATCACAGTCAGGGATTAGGTTGGCCTTAGTCAAGCACCCACCCCCACACCTACCCCCACAAACAGAAAAAAACCAAAAACAAAAAAAGCCAAGAAAAAAGTTGCAGCCTTTGCATTTATAAGCTATGACAACGTACTTTCATGGCACCCATGTACTCCCAAACATCGTCAATGACATAGGTACTCAGTATGTGATCTGCTGAAAACTCTCTCAGTATTTGCAACATTCTGCTAAGATGGAGCTCAGAAGAATCACTTTCATCACCTGGGACAAAATCATTTTCATCAAATGCCCGCATGACTTGACAAAGTTATAATGCACAAGCATAAGATAGAGTCATAAGACACCTGTTGAATGAGATTGAGAGCTATGGAATTTCTGTGCAATCAAGTGATCATACACCAGTGCCCCAATGGCACGCCTGATATCTGGCGGATCATCAATCAGTAAATCATATAAAGAACCTAATTCCTCATCAGGAACAAGCTGATGCCTGCAAAATACCAAAAAGTCCATTGCAAGCATAAGCCCTTGAAATAAAGTCAGAGAATGTCCATATGATTAATCACACATATATACCTGAGTAATTGTTTTACGAGTCCTATGGCACATACTGCCACAGAAATATCAATATCATCAGCAAGTTCAAGCATCCGTTTATAAAATCTTTCGGTAAAAAGGCCAAGAGATGGCACATTGTCATCTACCTCATAAAGATTTTGCAATGCAAGGACAGAAGCTTTCCTTACACCAGCACTCTTCAGATGCCCAGAACAAAAAAAGAGCCAACAATGTTTTTAGCACTTCAGCAGTGATGTGTAAAGAACAAAAGCTCAACCCATAGCTACAACTTACTTTGTCATTCAGTGTCCATCCCAGGTATTTTAAGTACAAATCCTGCAAGAACAGTGATGGATATGACAGGATCCATACACCGAGCGACTGTATGCATGACATTCGGATTTCAGGATCAATATCTCGGTACCGATGCACAAATAACCTTCAAAAGATGACATGTTTTTAAGTGTAAACCCTTTTTCTAACAAAAGAAAGGAAAAGTTGCTAGAAGATAAGAAATATTATTAAAATTGACCATCCGCTCTATTGATAAATGACATGAAAACCGAGAATCCTACCCAGTAAATATTTTGCGCATCATCTCCTCTATCACTGTTATCTTTTCATGTGTCTCTGACAACCTTTTATCAAGGGATTCCACACGAGGCCCCTCAGACCGTTTCTTTTTTTCAGCATTTAACTGTCTCTGTGTAGTTTCTCGCTGGGTGCCCAGCATTTTAGCAACATTAATGAAAGATGTAACAAGTTGGAGTCCCATCAATGAAGCAACCTGGCGATAAATCCTTGGAGGAGTGCTGGAACACATAAACAAAATACAGATATACTAAGCAAAGCTACTTCAAAAGTGTAAGGATATCTGCAAATAAGTACTAACCATGATAGTGCAATTATATAGTCCATGCACTTGTCAAACAAGACCTGATCAAACAACGGCCCATTTTGACATTCAGCAACCAAATTGTCCCAGAAAAAGACAAGATTATCTTTGAAATTCTTGAACTCCTTCTTTTTTGAGCCTTGATAATCTTCAACTTCCCCCTAAGATTCCAAAGCAGTTAAGCAAAACTAGAGACACTGATTTTGATAACAGACAAAATGCATGAAAAGGATGGCCAATGAGTATAAGTCAACCCAGAAAGGTATATAAAGGAAAAAATATGTACTGCAGCAGTGGAGGATACTTTCCTAGCCAGATTAACAAGAGCAACTACTACATCATCAACATCAGTCTCATCCAGGAACTCTTCTTGGATACGATACTTTGCTCCACAAGCCTGCATAGTTATAAGGTCCATAATTGAAATTTGACAGGATAACAAGGATTTGGTCTTCCAATCACTGATCTAAGCAGCAAGCTCAAGTGGTAATGTAGAAAAAATGTTAGACTACCTCAAAAAGCATCATCAAAAGTTCTACCATGGCAGGTTTTGGATCCTTCTCATATTGTTCAACCCATATATTAACAACTTGAGGAATTTGTTTCCCATTACCTTTGATAACCTCTGCAGGAATAGACAAACTTAAGAAATTTTGTCAATATTTGTAAACCAGAACCTCAAAAGATCCTCGATAATATATACTCCATGAGGAGCATAGATGAGCCGAGGGTGCTAGGATTCAAAATTTATAATAGAAAAGGACTTTAAGCCATAGCCCACCGCTGGCTCACCTACTACAGATGACTTGATGTTACAGATGTGCAAGCAATATGATACTAACTGATGCATTAAAACTTATGTCAAAATTTTAGTGCAAACATGCAGAGAAATAAACAGGTGCTAAAACACCTAGCTTAAATTGAAGTGAAACAATAAATTCATTCAGAGAAGCACCCAAAGAGTCAAATATTTTTTAAAAAAATGGTACTAACCGCTGAGTAAAGTACGTCAAGTCGAGTCAACCTTTTGTTAATTGTGATTTAAACCCATAAACCCACTTGCACATTCGTTACGGGGTATCTTTATGAAAATCGTCCATCAATTTAACTTATTTTTCAGTTCTTCTGAGCTTTCAAGCGATGAATTAACATATCTCCAAAGTAGTAATGTTCTTTAAGGACATAAATGTCCCTGAAGTACTTAAAGATTAACCTAAACAGCAGAATTGTAAGGTTAAATTTTACCGATCAGGCTCTGATCTGTTTTACGAGATGCTACTGTAGCGGACTCCGTAGCTCGATTACGTTTAGTTCTCAGGCGAGGTTCCTCAAAATCATCAAAAGATTCTTCTCTTTCCTCCTGATTTTCGCTGGTTCTGTCGTGGTCATTCCTGCCTTTGGCATTGGCCGTGCTAGGTTGATGTTCAGCAGTCCTAGTCTGAGCCCTAGTCCTTTTCTACTTATCAAATCACTCAAAGATTAGGTCTAAAGGGCTACAAAAGATTAATCAAAAAAAAAAGCTCAAGAAACGAAAGATCTAAAACTAACCGAGCGGCGAGTCGCTGTTTCGGAAGCCACCGGTTCTTCCTCCATGAACTACACCTTCAGTGAACCGGATAATGTTTGCCCTAGAAACACTGTGTGTTTGTGTGTCCGAGAGAGAGAGAGAGAGATGTATTGTGAAGCACGATACTAGCCCTGACGTTGGAGAGAGAGTGAGTGTGTAAAAGAAAATCTCCCGCCAAGGGATTGTAGAGCACGGAAAGGATGCGAGGTAGTGAGAGCAGATGGGTGTTAAAGAGGCCCATATCTAGTGGCAGCCGGTAATAGTCTCGTTCCGCAACTGTTAGTTTGGGTATTATCATAATTTGTCTTTAAATTATGTTTTTAAGTGAGACAACAGAGAAAGAGGGGTCAAATTAAGCAGAATACCATTTTGATTTTTTTTTATAGCCCATCTTTATAATTTAACCAAGGGTTAATTATAAATTACCCCCTTCAACTTTGACTATTTTTCAACTAATTCCTAGGTTCCAATTTTAACAATTTGCCCCTTCTTTTTCAACATTGTTTTAATTGACTGTTGCCACTAATTTCATATTGTAGAGAGAAATTCATTACATCAATCTCACGTAAGAGTGCAACTTGGATAGATTACCTCAAATCTAACCTTAGAAAAAACATATAATGCTTTGAGTTAAAGTTTTTAACAGTATATGAGCCTAACATCTAAATTACAGTAATTGTTGTATAGAGAATGAAAATTGAATTTAGAATACATATTTGAATCAAAAAAAAAAAAATTGAATACATAGAGTTACAGAGCGGGCCAAAAGAGAACGACCAGTTCTTGACAATTGGACACCATGCATAGTAAGTACACATTGAACAGTTAATTTGACTAATTTGGGTTTAGTAGTCTTTTAAGAGTAATATAGATATACATAAAAAAAAATATTAATATTTTTAAAAAATAACAACAGTAATTGTACAACAAAAATAGTAATATGTCCAACAAAAATAACAACATGTTTAACAAAAACAGTAACATGCTAAAAAAAAATAGCAATATAAAAAATTGAACAAAATTAAAAATAAAGATAGTAACATTCAAACGCCTTAGAACAAATTTTAACGTGGAGAGGGATTTCGCGCAACACAGCAGTGGAGAACTTGGGGGGCATCTTGCAACAAAACCAGTTATATGATCTCTGTCATGATGTTACACCGACGGCAAAAAAAAAACCACCACAAAAATGGCGCCCTATAAGTTATAGCCAAGCTCCAAAGTAAAAGAGACGATGAACCAAAGATATCATTACAACAATTCGACAGAATTATTGGACCCTGTTGATGACGGGTGACCTGTGTAAAACAATGCCCACTGGAACCACACGAAATTCTGGTGCGCATCCATGTAAATGAATATAGCATCACCTAAAAAAATGACAGAAAAGGCTGTACTCAAATCAATTCCTTTTACTAACAGGGAAAATTTTCAATTCTCCCAATTGGGTTTGTTATCAATGTCAGCAGCTGATTGGCATGAATGACAACGACTTATATGGAGAACCAGGAAACCAGCAGGAAGACAATCCCATGGACTAGATTGCTTGCAATCCAGCAAGCTCCCGCAGCTTCTCACAGAGTATGAAGGTGATTGTAGTCTGTGGACCCAATCTTGCGAACATTGCAAAACCCCTGGCCAAAAAATTAATCAGCACCCCAGAAAATGGCAATAAACATATTGAGCCAAACTAACCGCTTATTTCTCAACTGGAGAACAACTGTCATATGGAAATATACAAGTGAGAAGCAATAATAAGAGGGCATGTGTAGCATCTCACCCTTTGTAAAGTCCTTTGGGACCTTCTTTAAGCAGGACCTGAAGTCAAACATTACAAGAAATTAAACAAATTACGCCAAAAGCAGCCTGGTGCACAAATTTATGGCCAACATTTCACCCTGTCAAACTCAAGCCATCATTTTCTTCGTTTCTTTTCCCTTTTTGGCAGGCTGTGAACTTCCATTCAAAAACTCGTACTACTTATAGAGCAAACTTTTTTTTTCCCTGGTAATTACAGAGCAAACTTACCCTCATCTGTTTCATGAATAAGCCTTGCTTGAAAGCAAATCCAAGTGAGGACAGAACCGCATAATTTTAAGTAAACTAGTAAAGCTCAAACAATATTATTGACCATAGAAAGTCAAAAAATTAATCAGTTGCAACGACCAAACAAAAGCAACATTGCTACCTGGTACGCGCAATGGAATCCATTCTTATAGGCTCCAAGGCTTCTTGATTCTTGCTGCAACATGAGACGTGTTTTAATCATGTCGATGGGTGCTGTTATAATGGTGCTTACTGCGCCTGCAATTGTACTTGCGCTTCATAAGGAAAAAAGTACAGTTACGATATGAAGAAAGGGGCCTGGCATTCTTCTTAATTTAGAAACAGAAGTCAAAGCGGGTGCGTATTTTGTTGAGTGAAACATTTTTTTTTTCCAAATTCCAGATTTAATGATTTAACAGAAAGGAACATTAAAGTAGCTATTGCATACAAGATTATTCAATGCACATTGCTTAAATATCCAAAAGATAAAGGAAACATAGAAACTATGCATACGTTAAGTGCAGATAAAATCCTTCTTCAAGAGGTGTCCACATTGTCAAAACCTGCACCAGTGCAAAGCTAATTAAGATCATTTAGCAGATAACAAACTGATAATACAAAATATAACCCATAAAGATTAGAAATTAGCAGTCAAACTATTCAGAATCTGTGGATATTTAAATTGAAAAATATGCTCAGAACTTGACCTGCTTGGATTCGTCATATGTTGCCAGCTGTGATGCAGTCAAAGCAGCAGCTCTAGCCATAGCAGGGCCAACCCCCTTCCAAAGAGCAGTTATTCCCTCCTTTGAAGTTATTTTCCGCATTTCACCAAGTGGTCCTCTGCTAGAGTTTGGATTCATCTGTAACCTCACCTGAAAAAAAAGAAAAGAAAAGAAAAGATCGCATTGGAAAAGGTTTATAATATACAAAAAGCCTTTATATCATTTTACCTTTAGAACTTCCATAGGGTTGGTCAGTGCAGTGGCAAGGGAACCAGAGAATGCTCCAGACGCAATCTTCACCAAGATATTGGTGGACTCAAAAGCCAATTCACATACATATTTTGACGGTTCATACAAGCCTAAGCGGAGACCTCCATAAAACACTGACCTCATCAATGCAGGTGCCAATCCCAAATACAGTGACCTAGGACCTTCATTTTTCACAACTTGAAGAAAAAGTCCTCCCTGTATGCATCCACTTATGAGATAACATAGCTCCAAGTGGATCTGATAAACTGGAATATCCTGATAAAAATCAATGTTCATGTCATACCAACCCAGTTAATGGACCCCTCTGACCAACAAGTTGCATCTGCAGCCTAACTTTGAGAACATCTGCATTCCAAAAATGATATAGATCATATCTCCTGATTCAACCAAATAGAATCTATTTCCTCTAGAATTTGTATTTTCAAATTTTCAGTAATCTCTTTATGAATTCCCTATCGAAAATACAAAAATTTGACTGCAGGTCACCCAATTTTTTTTAACAAAAATCTAAAACGAATTTCTGAAGACAGGACTTCATCAACTCCAATTCTAATTGCTTTGTCAATTTTTATCTGTAGACTCTATGAATCTTGAATATGGACTGCAGTTCTACTTATACTTCAGTTTCTAATTGCTTCCTCAATTTTTATCTGTCGATCCTATGAATTTTGAATATGGACTGTAGAAGTAGAAACCAAAAAGCATTTTACTAGTAAAGCACACCCCCTCCCCACACACACACAAAAAAAAAACCCACCCCTACCCCTCTTCTCCCAAAAAGGAAAGCAAAAAGAAACAGATGGCAATCTTCAACATGGCGCCAGAGAATGTCCTATAGGCATTTTGCTCCACCAGTAGCCCTTAAAATATTATAAAAATCCTTCCCCCTCCCAACCTCATCATGCATATTCACTAGAATTGTGCCTATATCCACAGTCTTAAAGGGCACAATGTTACCATTAAGAATGTATTGCCATCTATAAACTTGTAGATGGCAACGCAGTCCCTGGTGAGACAAGTGATTGGAGCAGCCCAACAAAAAAGTCCACTCATCTGAACACTTATCACAAATAGAAATAGAACAGACATTCCATGAGAGTCTGCAACCCAACCACATCATCAGAACTTTCATTCTACTTGTCCTTCTTTAGTTCATGAATGCTTTCTACATCTTCTAGTGTCATTTTAACTTCATATAAACTCTTAGGTCTCGCTCCTCTTTTTCCTTATATGAGATTATAGCGCCAAGGGAGACCGAGATTGCAGTATTCTTAGTATTCTTGATCTTAACCATAAACCTTATTCAACACAATCACCAAAACCAATTAAATAACTGCATGATGCCAAGAAACAGGATAAAAGCAGTCCATAAAATCACTACTTGGGCAGGGATTCAGCCACAGCTTAGGCTTCTTTGCTCATGTCATCTTGAAAGTCCTTGTGTTGAAATCCGATTTTGGTGTGACTACCATTGCATCACCCGGAAAAAGAATGGAAAGGTCAAGAAAATGTTCAGGGACTGGACTTTCAGGTTTACCCATATAGTGCATCAAGATGCCTGGTGAGTCAGTTAGTACCACCCATTTTGTCCCTCTCAAAACCAAAGTCCTGCCCAGTGGTTTCCTTATCTTAAATGACAATAGTTAATAGGAGCAATTAAACAACCTAGCTTCTGAAGGAATTGTGATTGTTGAAATATAAATATTTAAATTACACCCTCTTAGTTTAAGTCGTCCTATGTTGGAATTTTACCACCGCCCTAATAATTAGAAAGATTTTTATGTACTAAGCCCAAAATCTAGCGTGAGAGACAAGTTGAAGTATAAATACTTTAAGTTACGCCCTCTCCTAGTCTTTTAGAGTAGATGATTGTTTGACGGTGATAACTAAGAAGCTAATATCTGCCAAATGAGGAAGAGAAGACACAGGAGAGAGAGAGAGAGAGGAACCTAAAGGGTGAGTAATGCCAGTCGCAGTAGCAACGGAAACTCCACTGGTTCCAAAATGATTCATAACATAGGATGGCGAAACCCACAAATTCTGCTTCTCGATCATTCTCACAGACCCTAATCAATTCAATACACACATCAGATCAGCAAAAATAAAATAAAATAAACACAAGAACATAATACACTCAAATCTGTCAAGATTGAAGACATTCTATCTATCCCTAATAAAAAATTAGAACATTTGATTCAAATTTTCAAGATTCATAGCATAATCGAACGAATTTAAAAGAGAAAAATCACAGGAAACGGAAAAAAATGACTAGAAGATCCACAAAAAAGAAAGAAGAAAATTCATCTCACTGAGAAAAAAGAGAGAACCTGAAGGAGAATGTTTCCCGGGGGTCGAATCGCCACCCATTTGTTATTTCATCAGCTTTCTGTTTACTCTGCCATTAGAGGATTGAATTAAACCGTTGAAGAGTGCATATATAACTAACAAAGAAAAAAACGAGCGATGAAGAAACAATGAAGAAACAAGTTCCAAGGTTCGTGGACGCCTGGCTGGACAATGAAGAAACAAGGTCAAACTGTCGTTTAGATTTTGGCTGAATTTCACTTTGTACCCTAAAACATTTAATAATTATCACTTCATGTCTTTAAATATTAGATTTTTATACTACATCCTTAATATATTAAAACTAATCATGATTCGTACCTGAAAGCACGATAGAACATAAAATTCGAACGCTCAAAAAATCGATTCCACTCTATTAAATTTTTTTCAACATACATATATTATCGTAGATGAATAATATTTGAAATAAAAATTATGTTAAATTATAAATTAATCAAATATTAAATAATTAAACATATAATATAAATGAGTGATCGGATATTCTTAAGGGAAAAAAATATATAGAAGATAAAAATTTAAATTGGTATGTGTTTTATTATATAAATTGTTAAAATTTGGTCTTTCAGTTAGTTTCAATTACTCATTTCGTCAATGTCAATGAAATTAGTTTGATGAAATAAGAAATAAAAATTAACGGAAGGTTTGCATTTACAACACTTTTAATGCATTGAGTATACAATATAAAAAATTTAATCTTCAAAGATATAAATTAAAAATTAATAAATTTTTCCGAATTCAAATTGAGATTGTCTCTTAGATTTTTAAAAAGGTTGAATGACACTTTACACCTTAAAAAATTCACATTACACTCTCATCTAAATAAAAAAAAAAGTAATCAAATAGTCTAAAAGTAAATGTTAGTTGTTTTTTCTCAAATTTTTTATAGTATTTATCATATTATTCTATTTTTATACAAAAATTTGCATAATACTCAATTTTAAGTATTTTTACTAGAGATTTAGTACTCAATTTTCTTAAAATAGATAACGGTGCTAACTTTATGTTCGAGTGATGGTATCATATAAAAAAATTTAATCTTTTAATTGTTAATTTCCTTTTTTTTTTTAAAAGTGTTAATTGAGAATACAAATATCTTTTAGGTTATAAAGAGTCATTAGCCCTTTACAAATAATAGCCAATCTTAATTGACGGACCAATTCTACCATTTGGGGAAAAAAAATAACATACAACCCAACATGGATTTTCTATGAAAATCCTATCGTTGTATTTAGGGGGAAATCAGGGTTTATGTGTAGTGGGGATAAATTATAACTAATTGTTATATTAAAATCATAATGTTAATTTTATTTATTTTTTGATTAAAAATGTTAAGGTTATTAAATTTATCACAAATATGTTGATATGTCAATACTAGAAAATCAATCAATCAATTTATGTTATTTCAAATATGATTTATATATAGCCAAATTTTAAATATAGAAACATTTAGTTATAAGAATATGAAAGAAAAGTTTAATCCATTACAAAGTACGCACACTTGAATTTCCAGAGGTCAATCAAAAATAATTTAATCAATTGCCATTAACTCTAGAATTCAAATATAGAAGGGTCATTCCATAAGAAATTCAAGACAACTATAGAAAATTTAAAAAAAAAAAATCAGATCTTTTATATAATGTGTGCATGCATTTTCTTCTTCTCCAAATTTATGATTTGTTGATTAAATTCTAATTAGTCATGCTTGCTTGACATTCAAACTTATAAAAGGAATTTATTGAAAAAATTCCTTCTATTTTTTAAAATATAATGTTTTTTGGTGGCATAATGATGTGATAGATTAAATATTTCTAATGTTACTATCCTAATGGTATCAAATGAGATACCATGATGAAAGATAAAACAATTTAGGCTAAGTTACAACTTTTCAAATTCGAGTTATAACTCAAAAATGATTGATCATAAAAAATACATGTTTCAAAGATAAGTGTAAACATTTTAAAGGTTATTCGTGATCGTCATAATATCTTATGATCTATTACAATATTTATAATCTATCACGATGGGCGATGCTCCATCCATCGCTAGCCCAGGGTGAAAAAGAAAAAAAAAAGATTTATAATCTATCATGACATTTATAATTGATCAAATAACCCCAAGAGTTATAACTTATTTATTAAAAGTTGTAACTTAATCGTTAAAGTAAAGTCGCCTCTGGTTGTATTAAAAGTATGTTTTAGTATAAAAGTACTTAAAAGTGTGCAGTGATATTTTAAAAAAATGATTAGTGTCCCTATTATTATCATAATTTATAGTGGTCAAATATTATTGAAATTTGCCTTCGATAATGTGACATTGACGTTGAGACTTTTCTAGTTTTAAAGAGGGATCTTTATGAGAGGGGTTGATTGTTATATTGTTTAATATATAAGGATACAATTATGATAAAATAAAGTTATAGGTGTAAAAGTATAAAAATACTTTGGGCATCTATATTATTTGAACTAATTTTATGATGGCCCCCTTACCTATTCAATTATCCCTTTCTTATGCACGGAGTTTTCAGTCTCGCAACTCTCTCCGTGCTTGGGGTTGCTGACACAAATTTGACACATGATTTTTTGAGTTATATTACACGTTTTCGGGGTTGTTTTCGTTAATTGTTGTTTTATTTGAGTTTTTGAACTATTGATTTGAGGAATGTGTTGTTTTGTACTATACTACACTATACTTGCACGTAGTTGTCGGAACCTTCTTAGTCTAAATTGTAATTGTAAAGTCTTTCTATGAAGACCTTCTTTCATTCTATTTCCATTCACTCTCATTGCTTTTCTCCGTCTTTCTTTCTCTTCCATTCTCACTGTCTTACTTTGGCTATTTGTCATCATCTCTAATTCTCTCACATTTTCACTTCCTTTTTAAGACTTCAATTAATTTATTCATTTGTATGATCCTAATTTCACAATTTTCAATCATTTTATAGTTTGATCCATCCAAAACCACTAAGATCAATTCATCCAAAACCACTAAGAAATTGGAACTAAATTGTAGTTCTTGTAAAATGACTAATAATCATATAATATATTTAGTATTATCGTGCTAAACATGAACATTTTACTTTAGACCCCAATTTATATTAAAATTAATAAAAGGTATTCGATTGATATATCATGTTCAGCATCCAACCAAGTGGAAATTCAATTGGTTCTTTTGCCCCTCTTCGTAGTCCACGATAATTCCAACATCTTCAGATTGCATTGGTAAACACAGTCGAGGACATTAAGAGTTCCACCTGCTTTCTCGTGGATTGTGATTGAGATATGACTATAATGGGAGATTTAGTCTCGGACAATTCACCACGTTACCTACAAAGATGATAAATTCTACTTCATTTCTTCCATGCAGCTTTGGTATTTTTCATTGCGGAGATGTTGTGGAAGGTATATTTTGTTTTTCACACCAAACCATGTCCGGAAAAACTTCTATTCCACACGCAGATAGATTTTTTGAAAACACTAAACTTCGTAGGCTAGATTTGGTGAAGAACATCGTTATTTCGATCACAGGAACTGTATAAGAGGTGCATAATGTGATATCGTTATCAACAATGAGACAATTTGGATTAAAGTACAAAGAAGAAACTATCATCTGAGATGGATATGGATTCAATATAGATTCCATCACATCCATGGAAATGAATAAATGGTGAGAAGGCTATCATCCGTTGCTTACCGTCAACAAAGTTGGATGATTTGACTGACTCGGAAAATTTCTTACACTGCGTAATACTTTATAAAATGACAATTTGTTATTATTGGTAAGTCTTTGGTACTTACTGATAATCCACAAGTAGGTCTCGTGCAAGATCAACAGTCAAGAATATGAATAGAAACAATCAATGAACAGTAAACAAACAATTAATGGTAAAACGATAAATAATAGAGCTAACATAGAGATTTATAGTGGTTCAGTCTGGGTGACCTACTCCAATCTCGAGAACGTCAGCGGTGACCCGAGATCTTTATTAATGAATAATGTTGCCAGGAGAACACTCTGGGAGAAATACAATGCTTTGAGAGAGATAGAATAATGTGCGTAGGAATGTGTAATATGTGTAGAGATCTCAAAACTATGAGAGCATGCCCTCTATGTGGAGAGGACTTACATTATATAGGTGTGATGAGGCGATGAGACGGTAATGTGAGGAGTAAGACTTCTACTGTTTTAGTAAGTACAGCTATGGTAGGAGATCTCCGTGCCTATCCCGGTGTTTTCTCCCTCGTGCTCCTATTTCTTCAAAGGAGAGTCTTGAACTGGAATAAACTCGTACTTGACTTTGGGCTTAGACTTGAAGTGATTTTGGACTTGCATTGGAGTGAAGTGAGGACATCACCCACTTGAGGCCACATGGGTGGCGCCCACTTGGAGTCTTCATGGGTGGCGCCCATTTGGTCCCTTGGGTGGCGCCCCCTTTGAGGAAGGGCTTGATTTCTGTTTTGGACTTCCACTTGACTCCTTGGTCGGTTCATCTGTTCTTGGACTTTTCTTTGGGCTTTCTCGTCTTATTTTTATTTGGTTTGACCTAGTAAAATTCGGACTCGTCATTTGTCCCCTATACCCCAAGTCTCTGCCTTTTTGGAGAAGAAAGGATCGTGGGCATATGCTTCATCTTCATCTGAATGAGTCGAAATCTTCCTCGTCTTCAGAACTCCGCTGTATTGACAGAATTTTTTTTTTTTTTGGGCTGATTGGGCGCCGCCCCCTTTTGTTGACCCTTTTTTTTTCTCTTGGATTGGGCTTCCTTACCTTTTCTTTTTTTTTTTTCTTAAAAAATTTGAAGGTCGATCCCTCTATATGGACTTATTTAGACTTAAGTCCATCAAGAAAACTTATTTATTATGAAGTTCGTTTTTTGTCAATTTTATCATACTATCATTTCTCTTTAGAAGTGAAATAAAATTAAAAATTAAAAACTTTTAAATCTTAGGAGTTTAACAAACATTAAAATTTTTCTCTCTCATATCTATCTGTATTCATATATAAATTAAAATTTGACTAACATTAAAATTTTCTCTCTCTCATATCTATCTATCTATCTATATATATATAGTAACATTAAAAATAAAAAATAGTAACATTCAAATACAAAAAAAAGTTATCATTTGAACACAAAATAT